ATCGGAAGAACAGCCGTGATCACTTTATCCGTGGCCATTTTGGCGATCAGCCGATCGGCCCGGATTTTCGATCGTCGGCGTGGGAACAGACTAATTCCAACCAGCCATGTCGTTCCCTCCAGCGCATTCCGCAGCTCGGATCAGCAGCAGGTTCCTCAGTTCGGGCTGCCCAGGACAGGCTCCCGCCAGCAGACGCGGTTGGACAGTGTTCTCCTCTCCGGGCAAGCTCAGCCGCCAGATCAACAGACGGCTCCCCCGGCGGCTTCTGGGCACTGGGGAAGCGGATGGAACCGCGACGATCGTCGCCGGCGGGGTGGTGATCTAGCAGCTCCGGCTGCCCACAACCCCTTCGCGGCCCAGAAGCCTGACTTCGTGGAGCAGGTGGTGGTCGAGGAGGCAGACTCCAATCGCAACTCCCTGCTTGTGATCATCGATAACAGGGACGAGCGGCTGATCAGCACGTCCCAGAACTGGCTGGTCGACGAGATCATGGCCAATGCCGCGAGTTCGATCACGGGTAGGCAAGAACACCGGCCCTCTCTCCAAGCTTGTCTGCGTGTTGTTTTTGCTCTAGCATGCCACCAAGCAGAAGACATGATCATTGCTGACTCGTCGCATGCTGTGCATGTTGCAGCTAGCAAACCTACAGCAGTATGCTTGCAGACACTTGTCAGTAGGATTGTCATCCTTACTGCGACTGTTTCGGTGGCTTCCCTGCTTTTTGTGGCTGATGGTGTCATTGTTGCTGTGGTAATGCTGTCGCATGCGGATCATTGCATGGATACCCATCGCCTGCTCCCCCCGGTGGTTTGGGTGGTGGGCTCTGTTCCGGTGCGAACTGTGTCTGCAACCTGCCCCCACAGAAACAACAACAGTAATGCAAATCACGACTTTTTGCCAGCTACTTTTGCCATGTTTGTGATGAGAAGTTGCCTTGCACGCTGAACACTTGCGAGAGTCAGGGGAGATGTGACACCAAAAGGTTCAATCCCAGCAACTGTCAGTTTTACATCACTGTGACGATCCCATCCTCCGAAAAAAACAAGGACTGTCAAGACGATCGTGGCCTCAGCAGGCTCGATCTCTGTGCCTGTTGTCGCAGCTAGCTCGTGGAGGGGGCATACCATGGCAAAGCTTGGCCAGATGGGTTGGGGGGGGGGGGGCGGGTGGGAAGCAGCCCAGAACCCAGGATCATGTACATATCTTTATCTTTATCTATATCTATATCATGTAACATATTTCATATATCATGTATCATATCTATATCTATATCTATATCTATGTCTATGTCTATGTCTATGTCTATGTCTATGTCTATATCTATATCTATATCTAAATATACATATATATATATATAATATTTATGTGCACACGGATGTACACACATAGATGGATAGATAAATAGATAGATAGATCGACCGGTAGGTAGATAGATAGATAGATAGGTAGGTAGGTAGGTAGGTAGATAGACAGATTGATAGACAGACAGACATATCGATACAAATAAATAAATAAATATACATATATATATATATATGTAACTGTATATATCTATATATATCCATGTATCCATCCATCCATCTATCCATCCATCTATCTATCCATCTATCTATGTATCCACCTACCTATGTATCCATCTATCAATCTACCTATCTGTCTATCTATCTATCTATCTTTCTATCTGTCTATCTGTCTATCTATCTATTTATCTGTCTATCTGGCTATCCGTCTATCTGTCCATCTATCTATCTATCTAATCTAACTATCTATCTATGTATCTATCTATCTACTTATATATCTATCTATCTATCTACTCTAACTATCTGTCTATCTATCTATCCATCCATCCATCCATCCATCCGTTTATCCGTCTATCCATCTATCTATTTTCCTATCTATCTATCTATCTATCTATTTTTTTATCTATTTATCTGTTTATCTATGTATATATCTATGTATGTACCTATGTATGTATGCATGTACGAACGTGTGTGTGTGTGTGTATGTATGCATGCATGCATGCATGCATGTGTGTGTGTGCATAGGTGCATGTGTGTGTGCGTGTGTGTGTATGTCTGTCTGTGAGAGATCTCGTGTTTCTCGCTTCAGACAACTGGGTTCGGCAGACATTCGCCGACGGGAAAGTTATACGTTGTTGGAGATCGCCGGAACGAAGGATTTCAAACAGATTATGTGAGGAAGTAGCTTAGACGCTTCTTCCGCCTTGCAGCAGGCCACCTATCCATTCAAATTGCATCGGCAACATGAGCGCATGAGTCCCCAGACCGTGTGAGCATCATCGCGACCACCTCAAGAGTCTTAAGAGTGTCTCGTGGGCCAGGATGTTCTCATCCTCCCAGCCCCTTTTGATGTGTCACACAACTGCTTATCTTCACATCCTCCCATCCTGATAGTCGCATGCCCAGACTCACGAATCACATTCCGTCACGTCGGCGAGAGCACAGTCGAAGCATCATTCAGTCGTCTCGTGTCCTCAAGGACTAGCATGTCTTGGCCGTGGAAGACAAGCATCTACGCGTGACTGACGGCAATGCTTATCCGCATTTGTCCGCCGAAGAACAGGACAGAACCTTGCTAGGCTTGTCCTACTGCAAAAGGCCAGATGAATTCTTAGATAATCCCCCCCAAGGAGCGAGGTGGGTGACAACAGGTACATGACAAGCTTTCGTCAAGTTGCTTAATCTGACGCGCACGCCATTCCAACACTGTTGCAGCAAGATCAACAAGCCACGTGTTCGTGGGACATAGTCAGCACGGTCTACCGATCAGAAAAGCCAAAGGAGAAGCAGCACGCGATCATGCGACCTCTCAGGCACGGGTCACTCATCCTTGTAAAACGCCCGGCAGGTTGCGACAGCACTTATTCTGCCAGTTTCTCAGCTGATGCTGTGTGATGCTTGCACACTATTTGTGTGAGATGCAGACGGCATGTTGCTCCGCGAAATATGGGTGTCGTCTCAGCTCGCGCTTCACACTGGCCAAGGCAGTGCAGAAGCTTTTGGTGCTTTGAGGCGAGCCGAGATCGGAGATGTATTAGGGAGAGCATTGAGAGAATGTCATCAGATCTGAGAGACCGCACAGTACTGCTTATTCTTCAAACACGGTGCTTGTCACGCCTGGCTTTTGTCTTTGCCCGGCTCCGCCTGCATATCTCTGCCAAGACCAGTGCGTAGATTGTGTAACAGCCAACTGGTTCCGGGACAGGCCCTCAAGCCCAAGAGATCTGACAACAGCATGCTGCCTAGCTGCAAGAAGTGAAAACTACGGCGGCCCTCGTCGGCCGCCGTAGGCCGCGGTAGGCCCCCGTAGCACTGAGGCTACTTGCTCGGTATAGCGGACGGTGGCCCAGGCAGCGCCTCGTGGCTCAAAAGCAGCACCAGAATCGCCGCACATACGTCTGACGCACCAGAGCACCAGGATCAATAATATCCATATCAATCAATATAAGACCTGATGTTTTTGAGGCATGGAGAGCTGTGCACTCAGCACTGGCTGATGCAGTCCTGACGGCGAAGGCCTTCGAAGCCTCTGAGGGATCGCTTCTAGTGGCCGTGTTCCTGACGTGGTAACGTTACGGCTGTCAGGTGGTGATGGCGATAAACGCCATCCTGCAGGAAGCCCCTCCATCAGAGTTCAGACCCCGGAACAATCCGACGGTGCTTTGCTTCAGCAGCCTGTTGCCTGTGGCCCAGGTTCACAGCTCTGCCACCGCTTCCATGCCGACTGCAACGAGTGTCGGAGGCTGCGGCGGACGTCTTTTCGCTTTCTGTATTGGTCAAGTGCGAGCACGGGAGACTTCAAACCAGATTCGGGCTACAAATCCCAGCTATCTGCAAAAACTGAATGTGAAGGGCTGTGCTGCAGCTACATAGTTGCATCTTTGCGACTAGCTACTCGACCAAGGGGCAGGCTGTCAAAGCGCGCCAGCTCGGCAAGTTCTCATGGTGCTGTGATCTGTTCCTCCTCAAGCAGATGGGTGAGAACTCAAGAACGGCGCACAAGTACTAGTGGAGACTCGGCATCTCAAGACTCATGTGCTGCCGACGCGGACTCAGATGTGGAGCGTGAGCCGTTGTGGTGACTGCCCTAATGCGGAAGCAGTTGCGTCGTGAACTATTCGGCGTGCCACCCACGCGCTTTCGTTTTCGTTTTTTGAGTTGCCTGGACTCTTCTAGGAGATGTTAATCTAAGAGAAAGTCAGGGATGTCATGTTGGTTCAGGCCGATCGCTATGACTAGCACAGCGCAGCAGGGCCGAGTTTGGTAACTGGGGATGTTTTGAAAGATGGAACTATGAGTGTTTGATGATTGATTGTCAAGAACGCCTAGAATACCGGTGACCCGAAAGAGCTGCTCGCAGCAAGTCATCATCCTTCATCAGCATATGAATCTGACCTAGATGGAACAGATATGCACTCAGCTCTCTGCAGGTCTGCAGGGTGTTCGGGTCTCTGCCTTGATGCCTGTATGCCCAGTGGCACCCACTCTCTCGGCATCCAGCATAGAACAACAGGTGCTCGATGCAAGGCTATGCTGCATCGACAACTGGCTTGTGCTTACATGTCGACTGTCACAGAAAGGTCCGTCAGGATGCATGCGACAAGCAGCTTCAAGCATGACTATGGGCAGCTGCGCCGACAACCCAGATGCAAGTGTGCTGCAAGTGATGATTGTCAAGACCCGGTGTAGGCTGCGGAGACCAAGACGGACAACCACGGCCGCAAGCGGCGCTTGCCGATGACATTCTCGGCTGAATGAATCCGCTTCTGCGTGGCCAACGGAAAATTGCGATCTGCCACATCGTGCGCTGCTCCAGAGCACGTCGCCGATGCATTGCTTGCAGCCCACGAGGGGAGAGTACCGGTGTTTCGGTTTCAATCGAGAGGTGCGCCCTTTGGGTAGTGGAAGTGGGCTGACGCTGCCGGTATCACATCTGCTGTGGCCAGTGGCCTCAGCTTTGGAAGAGTCTCCCAACAGGGTGTACCCTCCGAGCACTGGCCAAGGCAAGTGCTGCCACTCGAGCAGGCCGAGGTGGACAGACTTCTGCTGCCGTCAGCCAGTCATATGTCAGCTACACAACGCACTTAACGAGGAGGAGCCATCTGCTATGCAGTGCCGGAAGAAGCATCATCGGAAGAGAGGCCGTGCCAAAATGGGCTGGGTGGACAGCTTATCACGGAAGATGGTTTCAGTCTTCCATGATGGTAGTTGCAGATGGGTCAACCGCGTCTCGCTGAGGTCAGTTCCAAATCATCACGCAGAGTCGCAAACAAAGGCGACAAGACTGTTGTGCCTTCAGCTGTCATGCGTTGAAAGAAATATCATGTCCCTCTGCTCCTCTGCCGTATTTGGTGAAAGTCAGTATCTCTTCTGGAGGCACGTTGCACTGAATGGCATGGCCACGCCTAGCCGACATGCACATAAATTGTGCAGACAGCTGGCCAGCTTGCAATTGCGAGAAAGGAGGAACGTCGTGTCATCGTCACGATCCGGATCTGACACCATGTTGCAGCCTGCAGTGACTTGCTGCAGAGACAGGCATGTGCTAGCGTGTCCGCGTCGTAGCTGTGTTGGCCCTTAGTGATTTGCGTAGACAGTGGGGCCCGCGGAGGATGGCGCTGACCTTTGCATCGCCTTCCTTGACCAAGGAACTTGCGTCACCAGTACAGAAAGCCGGGGCCCGAACCCCACATGGGATCGTGGAAATTCAGAGCTGCAAAGAAAGACACCGAGCGGTGACTGCCGGAGCTCTCGTATTGGGTGCTGGATTTTGCAGATCTCAAGCTCGTAAGAGCAAGCGATGTCGGCTCCAAGCTGGAAGTGCTGGAGTGAAAGAGTCAGTTCCCACGGGGCAGGAACAGCAGGAGCGAGGCGAGAAATGTGGCGAGGACGATCGTTTGGTGAGGTACCTGGGTGGGAATGTGTCGGTTCGCGCCATTTCTGCTAAAGGCTTGGTGCAGAGGGTCACCGAGATGCACAACTGCTCTCCCATGGCTTCCATTGCGCTCGGCTGCTCGGCTCGTTGACGTGCTTTTTCAGATATTAAAACAAGTCGCTGGTAGGTTGAGATGTCACAGCATCCACCAGCATTTTTGCCGGTGTCAGGCCGTTCGCTGATGGCCACAGCATTGCTGGCAAACGGTCGTGATGAGGGCGAAAACCTTCAGATGCGCATACAAGGGACTGGCCCGATTGGAACAATCATCACGGAAGCATCTTCAGCCCTGACATGTCGCGGCATGGTTGGTTACCCAAGTGCAGATGCCGCCTCCGTGCCGGAACTCGTGGGCATGAACGAGGCTGCCACTCTTCGACTGACCCGGACGCATCCCTTTTGGAAGCGACCCTACACCGGCACGATCGCGTTGAGGTGTGGAGAGATTGCTGAGGATGTCGTGCAGTATTTGGCCAAGAGTGAGCAGACTCCTGCATCCATGGGCCTCAGTGTGGAATGGGATGCAGAGGCGCGGACTGTCTGATGTGATGCCAGCTTCCTTGGTTTGTCCCTGCAACATGGGAATGCCACCTTGAAGGCGGGCTGTGTCAAAGCTGCAGAAGGCTGGCTGGTAACGCTGCTGCCAGGCGCATGCGCTGTCAGTTTCGCCATGGTTACGAAAGAAGCACTACTTGACACTCACCCCCTGCACAAGGTTGGGAAGAAACAGAAGTTGCTGTCGTTGAGGCTCAGGGCAGCACGGGACATTCCATAGCTTCATACACAGCTGCGCTCCACCTGCACCACGCCCCAGACCAATATCAAGACTTTTCCCAACATGGACACCAGCGACTCATCTCGTCCCGACGCAGGGGTCTTAATTGACCAGAGCTTGGCAAGGCATTAGCACTCGTGCCGCGGAACCCGCTACGGCAGTGTATGCAAGCGATAAGATCCAGAGTGAAACAGAACTTTGTGGGTGCTGAACATGCTACATGTGAAGGCCTGTGAATGGGAACAGAGAAGACGGAGCCAATTAGCAGGTCCGCTTTGGCGCTACAGACCAGACAGAGGAGCTTCCTTGCATCCCCTCGGTGTCTCGGGAGCAACCCAAGCGGCTGCGCACAGAGCTGGCGCTACTTGTGGCGAAGAGATCATGGCGAGTCCGCGGAGCCAGGAACTGTCCAGACACAGCCTGTCCGCTCCCGAGGGAGGCATGGACGGTTGCGACACTGCAAGCACAGCTGGGTTTCTCCAGCAAAATCCGAAAGCTAAATAAAGCCCTGGTAGCCCGGGCGGCTGCGCTGGGAGATTGGCTCGCAAAGAACTCCGGAATGACAGGGGTTTCTGCCGGACTGTCGTGCTAGCGAATGCAATTGTGCAGTTTCCCATCCCTCGCCAGTCCGGTAACTTAGTAGCCGTGTAAGGTCGCTTTTTACAAGTTTTTGGAGAATATTATGCACTCTACAACTGAAACTTTACACATGTTTGGCCTTATGAACGCAGCAACTCAGGTAACGTCCCGTGGTGAGTTGACATGTTAACACATGTTTGGCCTTATGAACTCAGCAACTCAGGTAACGTCCTGTGGTGAGTTGACATGTTAGCTTGTGTCTGCACTAATGCCGAGGAGCGAAAACAGTGTATGCTAGCGATAAGATCCAGAATTGAAACGTCGAAGGTGCTTCGCTGAACAAAACATCGCAAATGCTGAGCATGTTACAAGTGAATTCTCTGACCCGTGGAGATTGGCTTGCGAGAGAATGCGACGGCCGGGACCTCCAGGAAGGAGGGGAGGCCCTTCTCTGCCCTTCCTTCCCCCCCCCCCCAGCCCTCACGGAGATCGGATGGCGGTGCTGCTGCTTGCGAAGACTCGATCATTGTTAAGTAAAGCGTGTGTGGAGTGTGGAGACGCAGCTCCCTCTACACCTTGAAGATTCAGAATATTTAGATGTTGAGCTGCTGTACTGCACTGCAACTTTGCCGAGGCCATTTGCCAACACATGATGCGAGAGCTTCGTGGTGAGTTCCAAGCAGAACAAACACCCACCTTCCGCTGCCCTTGTTCCAAGTCACGGCCCAGCCCCAAGCTGCCGAAGGTGTAATGCTGCTCGACACTGTACAGTGCTACTGAGCTCTGACTGACCGTTGGAGAGGTTGGCGACGGCTGTGATGATGCTCGGGAAGGAGGAGGCCAGCATTCAAGGTTGCAAGGAGATTATTCGAGTTAAGTCACGATTTCGGAATTTAGTACTCCCGATGCTTCACGCGGATGTTCTCTGTTTGTTTCGACCGTGCAAGAATCGCGGGTATCGCTGCGAGCTGTGTGACAACATGTGTCATGTGACAGGTGCTTAACATTATTGAGGAGAAGGACTGGCTTGATGCCAATGTTTTGGCACGGAAGCCTCGCAGTGCAGAAGATACTTGCTTCACATGTTGCAAGGAGAATGTCGAGGCGAAGTGTGATTGGTGCGGAACACCGCACGTCCTTACACCAGAAGAAGTTGCGACCTAAGGCGTAAGCGTTGCTTTTTTTCACCGCAGCTCTTCTGTAGCTTCGATTGTGTGGCCACCTTCCTCAGCTAATGAATGCATTATGTTGCAGACAGATGAAATGCTGCACTCCAGTACCACCAGCAAGAAACCTGGTAGACGACAGGAAGCGCAGATACTACGACTACGGTTTCAACGCCAGACCTAGCTATCTGTCTTTCTGACAAGAAAGAGCATGGCTCCTGCTGAAGACTTGGCCAACACACCGGCTGAGAGAGCTGCTGGTGCTGCTGGTGTTCGGTCCTCGGCGCTGGAAGCAGAAGAGCTTGCTGCCGCGAAGGACAACCGCTTTGCACATTGCTGTGCAGTGCTTCGTAATCGCTGGACTCAAGAACTTTGTTTCTAGAGGGTCAGCACACGTGCTCCAGCCGGAAAGGGGCCTGCGCTACGGATGCCTTTGTCAGAAACCCAGCAACAGCAAGCACTGCATCGACCGGAGCAAGGTACAAGAGCGCCCAGCGAAAAGCACGATAAGCATTTTCTTCAACAGCAGATTGGACAAGTGACCTTCCTCTGACTTGACCAACCTAAGCCATCTCGTCAGCTGCAAATACGGTTCTTCCGATAGATGTGATCGTCTGTTTGATTCGTGCACATAGTGCGATTGCCCGGCTCATCTGACGACACTAATTCGGCTCCAGTTACGATCCAGCCACGAGTTCGAGGGCGCAACGGCTAGCCATGAAGTGGTCGCGGGAATCGTGGTTGGGCGGGACCCTAACCTTGTGATATGCATATTACATCAAATTACATGCAATGCAAGGCAGGAGGTAATGCCAAAAGACAGTAGCAGTGAAGTCTCGAGGAACCAACAACAAAAGCACGTGGCAGCGAGGAGCACAGTTGAGCACAAAGATGCACAAAGCGTGCCCAGGAGATCTCCGTTGGAGGGCAGGGGCATGTGATCATCCTGGGAGCTGGTCTGGTCGGCTCATTGTGTGCGGTAGTCCTCTTGCAGAAAGGCTTCAAGGTTCATCTTTTTGAGCGCTACCAAGACATCCGATCTATACCCAGTGCCGGAAGGTCCATCAACTTGAGTGTTACTAGCCGTGGACTCCGAGCAATTAAAGCTCTAGGTGGAACACTTTACAGCGACATCATTGCAAAATTGACTACCAAAGTCATGGGCCGGATCATTCACATGCCCGACGGGAAGGCTATTTTCCAAAGGTATGGCAAAGATGATACCGAGCACAATTACTCTGTGTCGCGTTTGGATCTCAACAAGTTCCTCCTGAATGCAGCTGCTGATGCCGGCGCAGAGCTGCACTTCGACCATGGCCTGCTTGAAAGCTCTGACTTCTTGACAGACGGCAGCATCGGAAGCTGCCTGCATTTCAAGCGGGGCACGGGCTTCTTGAAGGTTCATGCAGACTGCCCGGTGATTGCATGCGATGGTGCCGGTTCTCGGGTTCGGTATGCGCTCCGTCGCTGTGGCTTGACAGAGTTTACAGAGGACCTGCTCACCCGAGGGTACAAGGAGGTGCTCTTTCCGAAGCCTGAAGAGGGAAGGGAATTTGGGGCCACAGGTGAGCATGGCGAAGCGTGCGATGGCAGGTTGGGCTTGCACATCTGGCCGCGAGGCGACCACATGCTCATGGCTTTAGCAAATCGAGATGGGTCTTTCACCGGGACCATCTACATGGACAATGAGGGTGAGGAAGAAGCATTTGCAGCGTTTACAGACACGCCTGAAGGCCGAGCAAAGTGTTCTCAATTCTGCGAGAAGTATTACTCAGATGCAATCCCGCACGTCGGCGGCCTGGAAAGCCTCGTGAACCAGATTGTCAAGAATCCGACCGGCATCCTCGGAACAGTTCGAGCAACAAAGTGGACATCCCAGGGCAAGGTCCTGCTTATCGGTGACTCCTGCCACGCGATGGTTCCTTTTTTTGGCCAGGGCTGTAACTGTGGCTTCGAAGACACATTGTGGCTCAGTAAGCTCATCGACAGGTACTGTTGCGATGCGGGCAAGGTCTCCGCAGAGAAGTGTACTGGAGAGAATTTTGCGGCCTGCTTTGCAGCCGTGGAGGCAGAACGAAAGCCAAGTGCAGATGCCATCTGTGAGATGGCCCTTGAAAATTTTCTGGAGATGCGGGACAAGACAGGCGATGTGAAGTTCCAAGTTGCCCGCATGAGTTTCGTGAAAGTATTTGGTTTCTTTGTCACTCATGTAGGCCTTTGGAGGCAACCTAGAACTAAACCGCAGCATGCCGCCAGCTTTCCAATGTACCACCAAGGTCTTGAAGAAGGTTGAGAACCGTCTGGAAAATGTTTTTCCAGACAAGTTCAGGAGCCGGTATGCCATGGTTTGCTATGGAGGAGCAGCTTGGCTTTCCCATGCTTCAATCCGTGAGCTCCCGCCGACAGTCTCGGCTTGTTTTGTCGGCATGAGTTGTCATGTATGCACGCACACACACACACACACCGACCGACCGAGGAATCAACCTTTACACTACCCGGCTATGTTTTCCGAAGTCACCCCTTTTGCTACGTATTGTTCAGTGAGTCCCAGCAGGAGTATGAGGAGCTTGTAGAGGTTCCGACTATGTGGTTCTGTCGCTGAGCTCAGGAGGGGAACGTTTCCTACGCGAACGCGAAGCACCTGGGCATTGTCCAAACCAGCATCCTCGAGAAGCTGTGTCTCGTCGAGAAGTGCCGTCATTTTCCATATAGCTCATAGCTTTTGCAGGGCACAGCAGTCCTTGCGCAGTGCTCGTGCCAAGGCATGCATCTAACAGGCAGGACAGAGGAAAGCTCGCCTCCAGGTGGGACAGCTCCGGCGGCATAGCTCCAGAGCAGGTCAACTCAATCGAGCTTGATGAGGCCGAAAAGCTGATTGACCAGCTCCTTGCTCAGAGTCAAGGTCACATATCGTCACATATCTATAGCCGAAAGAATCAGGAGAACTTGTGTTCCAAGCGAGGATTGGTTTGACGTCAAGCTGCGAATTGGGTGGTTTAGGTCTTGACACACGGTTGACAGTAGCGACTGGTTCCCAGCTTGCTGCAAGAAGGCATCTTGGCGACACGAATAGCTCTAGCCCTGTCTCCATCCGCGCCTTCATAGTGGAGGTCCTGTAGCACGGAGTTCCTGCAAAGCCGAGCCACAAGCTAAGCCGTTCCGGCATTATCTCGCATTCCGAACGACGCGAGAGTGTCCGAAAGCAAGCCCAACTGACACTCCGCACTGAGTGGCTATGCGTGGCCCATGACGATTGGTGTTTTTCCGGAGGTGCATGAAGTTTAGATATGATATAGTCGGACCGCATGGCCTCCTAGTCTTTTGAATATCGCGCAGTGCTACTGGAGGATTCGGCTTGTCCAGCCGAAATCATGACACCGGACAGCTTGCGGGGCATGCGGTTTCGAATCCAATCCATCCATGCCACAGCCTGCCAAGGCCGAATCAAACATATCAAACGGTGTGTCATAGATGCCTGTGGAACCGGGGATGAGACACAGGAATTAGAAGGCACTACTGTGCAGATAGCAGCAGTGGGCATCTGAAGAGAACCTTTGGATGCAACTGAGGCTTCTGGTGCCCAGGCAGAAGGAGCTCGGCATTGACCTCTCAACCATCAAGCACTGATTGCGTTTGTGCAAGCAGCGCAGCCAGTGCTCTTTTCGCCACTCGAGTTTTCGAGCTCCACCTGTGGGCGTTCGAGTTGCCTTTCCCATGCGTGTCGGTTGCTGAAGGACGGCTTGCGTGGCACGTGCCCGTGCAGATTTGCGGCACTGCTTGCCATCAGCTATGCTGGTCATCGAACGATGCAGTTATCAGTGTTATCAGTTATCATATTGTAAGTCATCTCTCAGGCATGAGCCGCATTGGCCGCATTGCTCTCCCAGAACGAGTTGCATGTGCATCCGGCCGCCAGACATGGCCCTCCAGGTCCTGGAACACCTGCAGAGCGAGAAGGGCCTCGAGGAAATCAAGACACGCCTAGCCCCCTGAAATACCAAGCGCAACGGATATACACCGATGTCGGGAAATGAAACGACAATCTGCATGCACATACCGAGGTGGCTATTCACCGCGCCGCATGCTCAGCAAAAGTTTGGTGATTCTGACTGCTATTTTCGTGAAGGTTGAGTTTCACCATTCATACTCTTGTCGTGGCCGAAAGCCCCGCAGCTGCTATAGCTTGGACTGCTGTTTGCAAGCTGCGGAGGTCAACTGAAGCTGAAAGAGGACCGGGACTGGCTTGCGCTGGCCATCTCTTCGGCTGCAGCACACGACACAGCAAATCTTGACCAGGAAGAGCTGAAGGCGATGCCTGCAAGTGGCAAAGCTGATTGGAGCTGAAATGGCAGTGGTATCGTGTCACATCAAGTGCTCGAGTGGGACAAGGGCAAGTTTTCCAGCCCCAAGCATGATCTGACTTGAGGAGCTGCTGTTTTCGCTAGGGAAGCTCCCTGAGCATGCACTGCCCCCGACAAAAACAATTGCAGACCCTCTGCCTGGTGCAAGTCAGCGTGTTTGGTGTAGCCACGAGCAACAACCGGCTGCCAAGCCGTCTTGGCTGGAGGCTGCAATGACCTGTTAAGCGCGAGACAGGGGGACAACTCCGCAAGTGCTAGAACAGAAGGGTGCTCTGGCTTGCTCTTTGTTCGAATCATGTCGACCAAGAACATGAAGGCCCGAACCTCTTGGCCAGAACTCTCCAGAACTACTCGTTTTCAGACTTTGGAAGACAGCTGCAAACAGGGGTGTTCGGAGGTTCACACGTAGACGAGCAACAGTGATACAGGAAGTGGGCAACTGCTGGGACAAAGGCCAACATCTATCGAACGCTCAGTCATCCAACCAAGATCCGTCAAGACCTGGGTAAAGATCATGGAGAGTACTGCAAACCAAGATGGTTCGGCGTCAAGACCTGGGCAAAGATCATTTAGAGTACGAAAGTTCCGGGACCTGTAGAGCTTCACGAGGCGATTTCTGTTCAAAGCGTTACAACCGTTTCTTGACTTTCAAGCGGCCGTTGAATGTGACAGGCAGCTGCACGAAAGACTCGATCAACCACGTCGCCACCTCGCGCAGCTACATGCCATGGTGAGCGGCGCTGGTGTGTGTGTCGGCTTTCAAAGACAACGAAGATGCCTCATGGAGGCCTCCAGCCAGAGCAGCCTTAGCCTGGGGGAGCATGGGCTGTTTTATCGAAAGGTGACTCTGCGGGGCAGTCAAGTCAAGCTTGGAGCCAAGTCAATTCCGTGGTCTGCTCGATGAAGATGCACAGAAACTCCTGGACGAAATCATGGCACAGCTTGTCTGCAGAGTCCCAACAATCATGATTCATGAAGCACCCAGAAAGCATCAGAATGCCAAACAGAGAAGTGAGCAAGTGAGAAGCTGAAGATCTATGCACTGATAGCCTCAAACCGCACAGCCTTACATGCTCCGCCATCCAAGACACGGTTGCAACATAGTGGAAGTAGACCGTCTGGGATGCGCAATCCCATGGCCACGCTTCACTTCATCGTCGTTGGCCGGTGTTAGCCCAAAGTCTGGATGCTCTGCTGCTTCAGCAGCTTATCTTGCCCCGGCAATGATCGCAGCTTGGAGCAGCGACAACCGATGTTCGATGATCTCAACCGCAGGTCTTCCAAACAGCCATGTAGCTGTAGCCTAACCGTGTTCTGGCAGCCGCCATTGTTTTGCGTTATGTTGGCATTGGCTGTCGAAGACAGCTAAGGCACGGTCGGAACCTCTGTTGCCATGCATCATGCTACAGAAAGAGTTGGACTGTTCAGTCCGGAGACAATTCTCCGAATGCATCGACCGAGGTTTCTTGTTTCGGCACTTTGGCTAGCCGGGATCGGGGGAGGCCAAGTTCTGCTGCTCCGCTTGAAATTCGGAAGCTGTGGCTGTGCCACCACGAAGAATGAAATGATGGGCGGCCATGAGCTGATGTTGTTTCCTACACCTGTGCTGGCCCCCTGATGCCTGAGCTCTCAAGGAGCTCAAGGAAAGGGAGAGTGGTGGAGCTGTTGAGAACCAGTCCAACTAGTGTGAGAGTAAAACAGCCAGGTGCTTGAAAGATAGAGAGCGGCGCAGGCGAAGGCAGCGTCTCGTAAGATGGACATTTCAGGATGCACGACATCACGTGTTTTTTAACAAGCGGCTTAGGCTGCCTCGAAGCGATGCAGATCAAGAAGAGGCACTAAAGCATCTCTACATGTCTTGTACTTCTGTGATGCCTTAGGGGTAGCCTATTCCCAGCAGGCTGGCACGACGGTCCTGCAGGGGGCCGCCAACCCGAGACGAACTGCAGAGATCGAGGCAGGTGTTGTGACTGCAGATTTAGATTGAAGAAGAGTCCTGATCGGAAAGTCTGCCTCTGGGTGCAGATGCACATGCAAGAGTGCTGGTTTCTCTTAGCATGGAGCCAGCAAATCTGCACTGCGAGGCAGACGATGTTAATGCCAACCAAACACAAACTACAACAACAAGCACAGCCTCCACTACCACTTCGATTTCACTCCTTGCAGCACGTGTTCTTGGACACTTCGAGTTTTTCGCTGACGAGTTGGACGACGACGCGGTTGAACAGGCGGCAGAAGTCAGCCTGTCCGAAGCCTTGAGAGTCGCAGCCTGGCAGCTGAATGTGACCGTAGTGTCCACAGATTCCTGGCACGTTTCGTACGCAGTCGATCTCGGCACAGAATTCCGAGATGTACTGGTGGCCGGTCAGCAGGTCGTGGTGGACAGCAGCGGCTTCGAAGTGCTCTTGTCAGGGGAGCTTGCTGCAAGAAGCGCCTCTCCACAGAGAGTGCGTGCATCTTTTGATCTCCGTGCCTTTGCCAAGCTCCAAATCCAGGGGATTGATCCTGCAGTGCTGAATTCTACTTCCACAACAGTAACCTCACTCACACAGACGACCACTACAACCACTCGAACCGTCTTGGTGTCTCTGAAACTCCTGTCTGCCATCGTGCGAGAGCCTTTCGACTCTGTGGTCTTGGCATTCAACCTCCCCGCGCGTTTTGGCTTTGCCGTGATTTCCGGGAGCGGGAGCTGCAGCCCTGATGCCTTCAGTACTCGAACTTGGGAGTCCCTTGGAGAACCGCGAAGCTGCCGATGGAGGAGTGAGACAGAGCTGGAAGTCATGTTTGGCAGGGGTGCCACACTGCGGCTAGGCCAGATGCTCGTGACTTCTCCTGCTGGTTTCGAGCCCACAGGAAACGTGGCGTATGTAGATGCGCCAGCTTTGCAAGTGATGATGGAAGCAGAAGGAACTGGGCAAGTAACGCCTCGTCTTTCGCATCCGACTACAGTTCAGGCCTGCAGTCGTGTGAGCTTCTCGACCTTGGGGTCCACAGGAGGGAAAGGACGCCCCCTTCAAGTGAAGTGGTTCCTCGACCCGCCAATTTTCAGAGTCGTCAGAGAGGCGCTGCAAGCCATGGTCGACATGGCGAATTCTGAAGAGTCCCGCATCCTGGAGTTTCCACCAGCAAACTTTTCCGTGGCAGTGCAACAGGTGCGCATCGTGCTGGGAGAAATCTCATATGCAAAGATCCCTGTGCATGTGAATGTCACGGCACAAGTATCAAACTGGCTTGGAGCAGCAAGCAACATTTCAGGTATGGTGACAGTTCTTAAGGAGGAGGAGGCCTTGCCAGTATTGGTGCCTTCCTCTCCAAGGATCCAACAGGTTGCGAGTCAGGACGAGACTGCCTTCAACATCATGACGCTTTCTAATAAGCTCTCGGAGTGCGTGCGCCCCCTTAATACGACTTCGCTAAATGTACTGGTGGAATGGGAGTACAGACCCGATCCCGGCAGGGTTTGGCACAGGTTGGGGACGCTGCAGAATTTAACTGACATCTCGAAGACACCGAACTCGATCCGTTTTGCACCGTTCACATTTCCACCAAACACTGCCCATCAATTCAGAGTGTTCGTGCAGTATGAGGGTACGAGTCCAATGAGGCGCCCGAACGTGACTTTCAATCTGTCAGTTGCATCCAGACAGCCGCCGACGGCGATGATCCGGGCACCAAGCGAAGTTGGTGCTAGCTGCCCTTTCTTTGTGAATGCCTCCCAATCGCGGGATGACTGGTCATCGGATGCAGAGATAGTGTACATTTGGTCCTGCCGCCCACTTGAAGGAACTGGAAGCTGTAACTTGCCGAACCTTGCGGATGCAAATTTCTCCAGAACGGATGGTACTGGTGCAAGCGGCATGCTGATGCACATACCTGGCGGACACCTCGACACGGAACCTCGAATGTAAGGCCAATCCATCCCATGCACAGGGTGTGCAGTGAGCATCGCCTTCCTTGTAAATGTAAAGTGTAAAGTGTAATTTTTTGCTTCATCACCGCAAAAGTACAGTTCCTGGGAATGTCGACATCTAGAGCTCACACCGCCTGTGCGGCTGTTCACTTCGAATCTTAAATCTAGTTGGCAGTCGCCCTTCTCTAGCTAAGGGCGTTTACATCATTGGCCTGTCGGTGCGGCGGCAGTCGGAGTCACCTGCAGATGCCGGAAATGCGACGGTTGAGCTGCGCGTGGTTGCAGGCCACTAGCATCATTAGCGCTCAGAATCTCTTGACGGCAGGACAGAACAATTGAAAAGCATCCTGTTG